TAAATCATAAATTATTTTTTTTAAATGTTCAGATTTTGCTCATATCAGATTTGTTTGAAGCTTTGTTCAATTTTGTATCGAAAAGTATTAACACTGTCAATACACATTTATTAAAACAAATGTAACAATAAAATAATTGCATTAAAAAATTTGCTAAAACTTGAAAACAAAATCAATAAAGCGCATATTATTTACGGACATTGAAATCATCCCCAAAACGTTTCCCGCTTATATTCAGGGACACTCAATATGTAGGTTTATTGACTTTGGAGTTGAAAAGATAAAAGAGAATTGATTGAGGGTTTTCGGTATTGACTTTTTCAAAGGTTTTCGTTTAGCAATTAGGTCCAACTGATTGAAAAATTCAACGAAGCGTTAGATAAAAGTTGAAAAAAAATAGAAAGAGATTCGGGTCTCACGTGAGAGATTTGTTCGATCGAGTCCCCAGGATCCGTTGTCGAATGGAACGGGTTCCCGAAACGGGTCGCGTTCGTTCAGTTAACGATCGTGGCTTGCTGCCTGCTCCGAGAACGGAGTAGAATATTTCAGATAGCCGGTAGTCCGTGTCGATTCTTTCCTCTTACTGTTCTTGCTGCTACTCTTGCTGGAGTTGGTGCTGTTTCGCTGCAGGGATGTCGGAGTACAGCCAGATGGATTCCTGGTAGAGTAATGAGAACCGTGAGCTGGATATCCGATACTAGGTCGTCTAATCGAGGTTTTCCTACGGCTCTTCTTTACCTTCCACATTTCTCTCTCTCTCTCTCTCTCTCTCTCTTTCTATCTCTTTCTATCTCTTTCTCATCGTTTCTTCTCTCTTATTCTTTTATTCTCTTTTGGTTTCATTACTAGCTGCGCTTTTAACGTAACATACCTCGGGACTTACCTATCGGTATTCTTGGTGAATCATTTAATGAACGTCTAGAAAGTACAGTGTATTTATATACTTGATGATTCACGAAGAAAGGTCATGATTATTGAAGTATTCTTGAATTGATGAAAATTGACTTTTTTAAACAACGATGATGCTCTAACTTCATCTACAATTCATCTAAATGCAGTTCTATCAATCTCGTGTCTGTTTTGATAGGCCCATAAATTGGTTATCCAAATTCCTTGATCAAATCCCAATTATTTATTGGCTATACCTGGTTTATCAAAAAAAAAAATTGGAATAAAGGAATCATTTATTAAGCGTACTTCGGACGCTGTGAATTTATTAATATAAATTGGAAGTTATTTTAATGGAATATTACTATTTATGTGAAATCTAACAACTATTACTTTGCACGATTCATGCGAACTGTTGCAAAACTATTCAACATGACTTCAGAAATCGTATCCTAAATTTGTAACTACTTTGTAAATGACATTGTTTATTTCTTTTCTGAATCGTTCTAGTACAAATTTACTTTCTACAATTTATTTTACAATTCTAAATTATTGTTACTTATTACTCGGACATTTGTCTTTTACATCGAAATTGTGTTCAATGTTCATCGCAATCGAATCTAAGTATCTAAAAATCTCAAAAATTCAACAAAAGTAAATTGCTTAGATAGAATAGAGCAAGTAATTGTAAATTATCTATGAGCTCGGAGAAATCTGTGAGATCATGGATATCGCGTAGCGTTAAATTATTTTCTCTTTCCTTTTTTTTTTTTGACAGTAAAGAAAAAAGAAAGAAAAAGAGAAAGGGATTTAAATCTCAGTGACTTCTCTCAAATTGACCATACTCATACTTTCCTTTTATGTTTATCTATATATACATATGGTATATATGTATATGTATTTACGTTACGCGTTCGATACTTGTAAAACTTCATATTTCTTTAAAACGTACAACAGGTTCCAATCAAAAGTCGTACAGTAGCTTATTGCGTAAACTTCGTTGAAAGTTGCCAAACATGTTGAAGGGTGACGGTTTCAATACCGTACTTTAAAACCGTCATTACAAATTATATTATCTGAATTTACATAACATCCATGACGTCTTTTGATATTTTCAACATTATTCTCGAAGCAATAAATCTATCTAAATATTATCTTTTTATAATTGTCATCGCAATCGATCATATTTCCTATTTCAACATTTTTTAACTTCATACAACTTTAAAAGCATATACGTTATATTTATACTTATATCTATATTTTTTACATCTTAATTTTCTTATTACTACAAAATTGTAAAATACAATTATTTTCTAATTGTATATATTATAATATATACAGTATATTTTGATTGTCTAAACAGTCGGTATTTTTGAGAAAAGTTTTGAAAGAAACTTCTAAAGAAATGGATTTAAAAGAGGATTATTTAATATGAAAAATGTGTGATTTCTTTATAAAGTTTTTCTGAAGGTTATTTGATCAACGTATATAACTATGTTCACGCAACAAGGATCATTAATACGTACGTGTTAGATTGATAATTCGCTTGATGATGGAAATTCGAATGACGCAATAAGATTGCTAATTGAATGCTGGTAACAACGAAAAGAACGATTTTAATTTCAATATCTCTTATTTTATCGAAGAGAAGATAAAAGTTAATAAGAATCGTGCTTACGCTATTTATTACAGGAAACTTATGTCAATTATTCAAGGTCTTATTGCAGCATGCCAAGGCACGTTGTTAGAGCTTTTACGGTGCTCTTCATTTATATTATCTGATTACTATTAGCAACATCACCGTCGCGTATTATTACGCACTTGGAAATCAATATTCAAGTAACATTATTGTTTTATCCATTACTATACAACGACATTCTTATTCCTTTACCTTTATAATTAATTCTAGTGGTAATTCTCGGCGTACACTTGACATTACCTTGTGTTATTTTTTATTAGGTTTATCTGCATGTTTATGCTGTCATGATAATATTTGTCACTTGAAATATTATGTAATATATGATTTATTGTGCTTAATATTATTATTATTATATAAATTATATGTAATTATTATATTTATATAAAATAAATTTGTGTGAAAAAATTGGGCCACTGAACCGATTGGGCCGGAACTCGAATCCGGGTCTTCCGCATTCCGGGCGACTGTTTTCATCTTTCAGCTATCCAGGGCCTTCCATATTGTAAGAGAATACGGTATTTAAAAGATTCTAGGCTAATAACTGAACTTCGAAATGATTAATCTTTATAAATATTGGTTTTATCCTATTGTTAAAGTTCGAATTAAGGTTGAAATATATCTGTGTTTTTTAATTTGTGAAAAAAAGTAAATCATACACTTTAGTGTAACGAGCTGACTGTGCGATATAAATATACAAGCGGCGTGTAGGAGATATAGAAAGATCAGATTACGATAAAGAGTAAATTGGAGATTGGAGCGTTGTAAAGTGTAAATTGTAAAAAAAATAAGCTTTGTGCGAATGTAAATTGTATTATTTGCTTTGTGCAGTTAAAAATTGTGACTACGCTTTTTGTGTTCTATCTATTGTATCCCTTATATTGTATTATATTACAATATATATACATATATACATATAATAAATTGTATATAATTTATATATTAATATTATTATAATATTATATATTAATTTATATATATATATATATCATATTATTATATGCAACACGTATATATAATTTTTATAATAATATTGATTTGCGTAATATCATTTAAGCACACATAATTCATGTATTATGCATAAGACTAATTTACGTATACTAGATAAATTTTAACGAGCAAGTTGAAATCGGTTTTGTTTTCCATTCAAGATCTTAATCCTGCAAAAATATTTCTCATGATCTAATTATAGATATTTAGCTAACACTTCACAACGAACTATTGTATTCCTCTCGGAACAAAAAATAACATTTCACAAGGTACGAAGTTAAAGAATTCTTATTTTCTCTCTCTTTCTTTTTCCTTCTCGATCTATATACATATATTTATAAATTCCTATAAATATGTTATTATACGTTTTCGAAAAATAACGTCTTCTTTGAAACCCATTGGCAACAGACAGCCTTCATCAATTTGACCAATTTACTCTTCTTTGTTTTTCGCGTCCATAGAATCCAGAAGTAACACTAATTTGCCAATAAATACGTTGGAATTTTATAATTGTGTTGATACGATTGAAATACGGCCAGTTCTCAAGCATCAATCTTTGCATAAATTAACGTTGCATTTTTTTTTATGATTTAAATCATCGAACAATCTTAAATATGTACTTTCTTTTATTGCATTTCAAAAAATACGCTTAATGACTTCTTTTTTTGTTAGAACTATGTTATTGTAATACTTTATCATAAAAACAACTTAGAAGATTAGAATTTATTTTATCATAAAATTCGTTTCTTTGCTCGTTCGATGAAAAATTTATAAGGTACGTCAAAATTTTTTGTTTATTTTTACAAACTTTGTCATTTTCTTTTCGTTCATCGATCAATCCAATTACAATTAAGGCTATCAACAATAGTATTCACAATTGTTAATCATTTATTATTAGATCGATGAATATCTTTTTATGTTCATGATGTAATTTGTTTTTTCAAGTTCGTGCTTTGTAATCTTTATAAATATATTTAAGTAAAATTAATTAAAAAAAGTGCGTGTGAAGGAGAGAGGGGGGGGAGAGAGAGAGAGAAATAAAAAGAGAGGACGTGGGTGTGTAACTTATTAGGTTACTACGTTGTATCCGTTTCGAGTACGCAATAAATAAGTGGCACTTGGACTTATGCCAAGCTCGGTAGGCATTCATCAGGTGCATCTTTTCTTTTATATGCTTTTATATACTTAACAAACTTTTTCTATATATATTAAGTAATAGATGAAGCTCGTTTAAGTAGTTGGCAATCTCTTTAAAAAAATATTCCCTTTAATATAGCGATATTATAGAGGCGCCTTAAAATGTCTGTGTGTATATATACTGTAGTATGTAAATCATATGTATATGTACATGTGTATCTATGTAATTATATATTTATATATATATAATATATTTCCTTCTTTGTATATTTTTTATTTTTTTTTACAGACGAAGTTCTAGAAATCCAAATCAAAAATGGGTTGCGCCTCACAGTGTGCCAAGTACTTTTTGTGCTTTTTCAACTTTGTATTTTTCGTGAGTATCATTTTATAAATAAAATAATAAATATTTAAATATGTAAGGAGGTTTAAAAGTTTTGAAGTCCAATAAAAAGAAACATTTTTTTTCTCCTTTTTTTTTAATAAAAATTAACTCGACCAAAAATAATTGTTTCTACATTAGTCTCCAAACTTTTTAATCCACCTACGTAGAACAATAAAGTATAGTATACTAATAATACCAAATATAATTAAAAAATGATGAAAAATTTTCTTTACATAAACATTAAGTTTCCAAACAATCGAATGAAATAATATCTCAAGAATTTAAAATGGTTCAGTTACACGATATTAAATAATGGGTATATACCGTAGTTTACATTTTCCTCGACTAGTTCAACGAATCATCGACATTACTTCTCCTTTTGCATTATTATTTCTTTCTTTTCCTTTTTTTCCCCCCGTCAAAGAATATAATTTTCGTAGAATTCTCAATGTGGAAATGCAGCTCTCGAACAATGCAAAAGCAAATGATCCCTCGGAGATAAGAACAACACGAATAGGAGAATCGAAACGATCGTAAAACCGCACGCGAATTAGGAAGTCCTTTTGCTTCGTGTTATTTTGTAGAAAATATCCAGAGGAATGTTCGCTTCTCCTTTCCTCGCAAGTGGCCTTGAGCTCCTCGAAGCAGAACGAAATCTTTTACATCGGGCATGTCTTTTATACAGGTCGCTGGCGGAGCAGCATTGACCGTTGGTATCTGGTTGTTTGCCGACAGGAGCTCCTTCACGAACCTCATCGCAAAGCTCGATCAGTCCGATATTCTGGTAAGAAATTGATTTTATTTCATTTATATTGATATCATCAATTTTTAACTTATCTTTTTATGTTATCTTGAATAAAATGACAATTGTTTTAATGTTACAATGATATCATTGGATTAAGAAAAAATTATTAACAATAATCAAATATTTTATTAAGTATTAACAAAATATTTATAATTAATATAATTTTTATTTATTTATCTTAATAATTTTTTATCTGAAACAATATTATACAAATATTATTAAAAGAATTATAGTACTCATTAACTAGGCTCACGATCAGTAAAAAATTAAGAATCATACAATAAAAATGTTGAAGAAAAAGATAAATGTATTATATAACATCTATTAATAGAGTATACCTTAACAAAGATATTGAAATACGATGAGGTATATCCTCATAGCATACATGAATCAGACTACTCCTGATGAATCAACAATTCAGAAAAAAATAATCTAGATTAATGCTAGAAAGAATATTAGATAATAATCAAAAAGAAGACGATTTTCATGGAAGGATTTTTAAATTAAGATTTATATTCTGTGATTTCTTTCAGTTGTTATTTTAGCCACCTGTTTGCGTTCGTCGTTACAACCTAATCATATATATACAGATTAACCTCAGCATGTTCTGCTTAGAAGACTTTGGCCAAATACCAAAATTCTGATAACATTCGCGAAGAAAATCAATATCGGCTTAGATGAACTAAAGCTCACATCTTATGTTGATACGTATACATGTATGTATATACGAGTATGTGATGTGGAAAGCTGAACGATCATCGATAAGGAACTAAAGGTTGAACATAACCCACAGCTTCTTTTTATGTGTATGAAACCGTACACTCTCTTTATAACGCTTTTCACTATACGTCTTTCCAATACCTTATTAGACTTTTAAATTAGAGGGTAGAAGAAGGAAGAAGAAGAATTGCTCGTAGGAACGTCAAAACGTCACTATCAACTAACGTAAAATGCACAATAGACGTTCCTTCATTTCTATAGTACAAATAAAGTCTTATCACACATTGATCATCGATAAAATCTGCATAATATTATGCACGTACGGTGTTGTAGTATTTGCACGATCAATATTTCAAATACTTGCTATTTTCAAATCAATTGACATTTTTCGTCCCCCTTTTTTTCTAAATTATTTATCAGAAACTAAACAAAAATACTGGACTTTAGATTAAAATTTCAAGATTAATTCGTAGTTGATATTTATCGCAAAAAAAAAAAAAAAAGGATTATAAGGAAATTTTCGATTTGTTCCATCTGAATCGATAACGATGCGTATCCAAGAGAATTTCTTTTCTCGCTTTCATCGTTTTGTTGTCGGTAGAGGTGCAAAATGACCTTAGAAATTTCGAGGACAAAATCGCAACTTATGATAACGGCACGTGTTTATTGGGTTGGTCAGTAAATAACGGAATTTTTAATCTAAAAATTATTCTTGTCGTTTATTAGTATATAAAATGTTCAAAGTCTTTCGATAAGCAAAATACTCTATATAGTACTTCATATATTATTTATTTAAATATAAAATACTACAATATTTTCAAATAAACAAATATTTTTGTACTATTTATTTAAATATAAAATACTAAAAATTAAAAAAAAATATTCTAAAGTTATTGATTTAAATATAAATTATTATAAATGTCAATATCATTTATTGATAACCAATCCAATACACGCATACGTACAATGTGTTGATATATGTGTATTTATAGTATGCTGCACGCGGTTTTGCTCGAAAGATGAGATTAACCGATGTACCAGAGAAGTTGACAAGCATGAATGTAACGCAATTTGTCCGATTATCTCAACCAGTCATTCTAAGAAACTGAAGGAACGACGGCACCTGGGTTGTCTTGTCTTATGTGCACCTCTCCAACGAAAAATACCGGTTCGCAAACGAGTTTCGCTATCTTACACCTTTTTGGTGTGAGAACGAGAAGTAGGAGTAGGAGGGGAAGGGAGGGGAGTGTTTATAAAGAATCTTGGCGATTCTTAAATCGAGAAAGGTCCATTCTTAATCTAAATTTTATTCGTCCTTTCACCAAGAACGTTTCTATTCTCTCGAACACGAAAAGTCCACTGTTCTGTAATTGTAAGTAAAGAAAAAGAATAGTTCGAAATGAATCGTATAAATAGAAGTAACATAAAACTTCCTTTTGGAGGAGGATTCATTCAATACTTTTTTAATTCGAACATGATAGTTAAATGATCACAAAAGGATTTGAATTCATTCCCTTACCACGATCGTGACTTCAAAGTAAATTTGTTAAAATTGAAAGAGACAGAAAAAAATAGGTTTGGAATAGTCGAATTGGAGCATGCAAAAACTTGATACGTGTTATTTTAGATTTTACTTGTTTTTTTTTGTTCGTTAATATTTTGTAAAATAAATGATCGATATAATATTTTGTTCGGTATAAAAAAATAATTTACCAGTAATTTAAATAGATGATCAGTATTTATATAATAGTAGGAGTAGAATTGTGTCTGTCAAGGCTCTGCTATGGTTACATATTGTTATAGAATTTATACTACTATTTTATTATAATTATCCACAAAACAAAATGAAAAAATATTTTTAAGCATGATTAACAAGAAAAAATTTGTAAAGTCAATATATTTTAGAAAATTATTTTTCTCTCGCGTCAAATTGTTGTATGCATCCAAAGATATGATTAAGTAAAAGATTATACATCCTTTTGCTATTTGTTATTTCACATGTGCTAACGAGTTAAGTAGGTCATTTTGTTGGCTTTCTTTTCACCCCTTCACCTACAATTCTTTTTAAGAAAATTACAAGTGTTAAAAATATTGAGAGACAGACAGAGAGAAATACGTGATTCATTAACGTCATTTTGTGAAACGAACGAAAGAGTACATCTAATTAGCATATTCTTGGTATTAAGTCAATTTGAGGAAAAATATTAAGGCCATATACGTGCGTACTCTTACCGTTAAGATTCTCAGCTAACACGATACGTTAAGAATGAGGAAAGGGTTTTAGACGACGTTTAATGAGGTCCTTTTCTGTGCAAACTCTAGAGAAAAAGAAGACAATAAAAAAAAAAAAAGAAAACATAAGAAGCACTTACAACGAAGACTGACCTAATTTTATGTTAGAACAATAGGACGATTACTTCAATAACTTATGAGATCCCAAGTCGGACATTTTGTCTTTTTTTTTGTTTGTATCTTTACGATCTTAATCCATTTTTTTTATTAATTACTTAAAGCTATTTGTTAAATTAAACGTATCATGATAGTTTTTTAATTATATGTAAAAGACACCTATGTTGATATTAATGAATACAATACATTAACATAATTGTAGATACTTCTAACACGTTTAAACGTATATATATAAATTATTAGATTTTAGAAAACGTTACGTATTAAGCACGACCTTCGTACTTGCGCGATTTATCTCGACTTACTTGTTACTACTGTTAGAAGCAAGAGGGTATTACACGCACAAAGAGATGACTGTAATTTAATCATTCTCGTGGTCATCTACTAGAACATCACGCGCAACTAGAATAATTAAAACCGACTACTTTTCCAACCAGAGATCCAAAGTTAACGAATAAAAAAATAACTCACGTGTATCTAACGTTGTATATGTATATGAAAGAAAATAACTACACGCGAATAAGAATTTATATTATCTTCCACCTGTAAGAAAGGGAGGGGAAAGAAAACTTTCACGAAACTTATGCTGTTGGGAAAAAAATAATTATAAAATTATCTTTTGTTTTAGATCAAAAGTTGTGATCTGTAGAAATAAAAGAGGGTTGTAGGGTAGGATAAAAAAAAAAATATTCGAGCGGTGTTAAATGCGTGGAATCTAATATCTAATATCCTTAGTTTAGAGATCGGAGGGTCGCACGCGAATCGCCGGATATCCGTCACGCCGTAACGCGTCCAATGGCGTTTGGCGTCGCGTGGCTACTTAAAAATACATTATGAGAAGAATTTTAAAAAGGTTCTAATATACGAAACTTAGTATTTCAAATCTGTAAATGTGTGTAAAAAAAAAAAAAAAAGAAAAAAGTACTTAACAGGTAACATTGTTTTTTATTGTTTTACATTTTATTTTTAACATGAAAATAAATTTGTACCTGTGCATGCGAATAAAAGTACCCTTTAAGTGATATATTAAATTTTTCCACACATGTTATTATAGAAATTTATATGGTAGAAAATAAATGCAAATTATCTATGGGGTATATAGATATATGTTTAAAATGAACGAAGTAAAGGAACATAAATTCAGTCTCTTTCCTCTGGCGTACATTTATGAAAACGTTATTTCTGTTTTCACCCTTTCGCTGACTGTTTTAAAAAGTGTAACATATATATGTGTATATGCATACAAGATGGATGGATGCACCGTGAAAACGTATACATATACGTCGCATTTTACAAAGTGGAACGCGTCTTTGTTTCGTACCACATTCCATCGTTCGTAAAACGGCACGTAGAATTGGAAGAAGTACATTATGCATCTGGGAATTGGGAGCATCGTGTTCCTACATTCAAGTTTTTCGCATGCTTATCCATCGTATTCGTCGTCGTCGTAGTCGTCGTTGTCGTTTTATTGTACCGTACCATACTGTCGTATAAATGAACTCGATTTTCATATATATCCACCACATATATATGTGTAATGTCGATGTTGAAGCATCTGCTAGCACTTTTTTACGTAACAACTTCTCTTTCCGGTTTTCCTAAGAAGATTCATATATATATATATATGTATCTGGGGGACGGGGGAGATATCAAAAAATAGTAAAAATCATTGTTCGTGACATAAACATTCGTGCGACAAGATTTTTCCAATGTATGAATGGCACGTTGCCATTTGTTTATTAAAAAAAATGATAACAGAGTGGAAAAAGAAAAAATCATATGTTACAGCAACAAAAATGAATCGTCCATTACCTAAGAACGTTAAACCGAGTTTAATAATTGAAAGATCGTTTCTCAGGTCATAGGTTAATTGGACATTCGGTCGAAAATGAACTTTATCAACGGAATATTGTGAGCTAACAACACACACAGAGTACTCGTTGAGAGAATTTATTCGCAACGTGGACGAGGAGAGGGATGGCAAATAAAAATGGTGGCTAAGAGAGACGACACGACTATGACGACGAGGACGACGATGAGAGGAGTCGTAATTATCGGTACTTCGAAGTTGATGAGATGATTGGTTGTCACATTATGCCACGATGCGTGGGAGGATCAGAGTGCCTCTGCACTGAGAATCGCAACACATACTGGGGCCAAAGCCCTCCATCGTGCTAACTTTTTTTTCTTTTTTTGTTTTTTTTATTAGTTTTTTTTTTTCTTTTAAAGACTGCAAAAGAGTGCTCTCTTCGATGTTTGATGTTCGGTAGCACGAACATAATTTTTTATATATATATATTCGGATCGTTTCAAAAGTTATTTGCTTTTTCTTAGTAATTTTTACGTAAATAATGTTCTTTTTTTTCTTTATTTTATTTTACTGAATAACATACGATTCATTTTGTTCAAATATGAAAATAAAAAATATTCTACATGTTAAATTACTAAGAAAATCGAATACAGATGTGATGGTCAATTTGATTTAAATAATAAATAAAATAATATTTATAATTTTAATCCTCGTAAGATTATAAAAGGAAGAAAAAATCGCAATAACAATTAAGAATGTTAATTTCAAATGTAAAACCTATTCGTGTTACGTTCAGTGTTAAATATCATTGTTACTATGTTAAACGCGTTAGAACAAAGTGTTGGAAAACTTTCTACGCTTAGATATTACGTGCAAATAGACCCAGATTCTTAGCAGTGATTGTTAACAAGACGTCAATAGAAGATTCGGTCTAATGCAATTAAAAATGTCGGACAATTAAAGCACTTAATCGCACGTTCCATTTATAATAGAAGAATAAAAAGATATACAGCGTTTTCCTCGTCCACGTGCATTTTCTTTAACGCTCGACGCCAAGATGAAATTTCAATGCGACATGTGTATATACAGAGTATACTTACATGCATACATATATGTACTTAAGTAGAAAGTACCGATGTGAATTTTTGTACCTTTCTTTTTCTTTTTCTTTTTCTTTTTTCTTTGGCCATTCGCAGTGTCGAAAGATATACTCTGGTAAAGTGTTTTCCTTTTGAAAAGAACGTGTCGTTAGTACGACACACGGTGACGAACTCATGTGATCTAAAATACATACCTTCGTACTTACTTACAGATACTTATACATATACATATATAGACATAGGTATACACATGTCAAGTTTTATATTCTTGACGACTAGGTAGCAACCACGTCTCACCTTCATTATCGTCGAGAAAGATGCATCCAAGGGTGCATCTATTCATCGCGTAGACGTAATTAGAAAAGCGTTGACGAGATTAGACTATACTTCCGTGCTTCTCTTCATCTCTTCTCATCGCGATTTTCGTCCTTTTTTGCTTTTGCTTTTTTTTCTTCAATTTTTTTTCTCCTCCATAACTGTCTTCGCGTCGCGTGATTACGAAACTTTGTTCGTATTCGTGACTCATCTCTAAGAATAAAAATAAAAGATAAGAAAGAAAAAATGCGTATTATATGCACAATAGATCGATACGGTGAACCCATGCACGGAGAAAATAAAGGATTAATTAGAAATTATTATACAACTAAATAAAAGCTATACGTAACGTTTTAAACGGTCGTATTATTGTAATAAAAATAATTTAGTTTCCTAAATTTAGTTTCCGTTTAATAATTCAAGTGAAATAACAGTTTTATGGATCCGTGTGTGCTGCAAGCAAATATTCAATACTAAAAGTATACTCTCATTGATTCTTTCATTCGCATAATCCTGAATAATATAATATCGCGGTAGTATGTAATTTAAAATATTGCCACCTTATTCTCAATGTTTATTCCAATGATTAATGTAAATTACCAAAAATAACGATCTTACGGCAGGTGTTCGACGTATTCTTTCTTATGCTAGTAGAATTAAACGGGATAACGTAGCCGATAAATACACAGAAGAATAGAAGTGGCTCCTCGTGTAAATTGTTGCTGTCTCGTCTGCTGCTAGAATATGTAAATTTTATAGATATCCTTGAAGAAATAACGGCGGGGTATGTTACTAAGTACTTGTTTCGATATAAGCTTGCTGCTGTTCCTGTTGTTGCTGTAATAACCACTACAAAATTACATGGGAATAGATGAAGAAAATTATTCGCAGCTATGTAGACAGATTCCTAAGAGTAAAGTTGTTGTATCGAGCAACCCAAGGAACATGGGCCCAAGATGTCAACTATAAAATATTGAAAACGTTCACATGCTGCTAGATGAAATGTGTCTTATATCGTTCACATAAAGGAGGGACTATGTTGTCTATGTCTGCTACTGCTGTTGCTGCTATTGCTTCGTGAAACTCGATAGGGATCACATATGACAGGGATCGTTCGTATATAGCGACCTTATAAGTGTTCTCTAAGTGCCATTTGTGAACACCATTATGTCATCCTCTTATATACATCAAGTAGTATATATATATATATATATATATGAGTCTTGTTGTAATAACAGACATAATACACTCTATTCGTACTGAATATCTTACAATAAGAAAAAAAATTGGCAGAGAATATATTATATTAAATTAGGAGAAACAGTTTCTTCATATTTTAATGCAAAAAACTTCTCCAAATGGTTTATAACAATTTTATGATTAATGTTTAGTTCCTTACCGATATTACAATTGCTAATGCGCCAGTCTTGTTTAATATTGTCCATGATTTCATTAACTTTTCCAATAATTGATCGACATGCAAAAAGCGAGGTGCATCTTTGACATCTAAAATTCTAGATTGAAAATAATAATAAATCAAAGTCTTATTATAAATCTCAACTCGACTTGAACGTTTATTAACAAACGGAACACAAAAAACAGTCGACTCAAATATAATGTATCATAAGATCCAAATAAAAGTATAATTTATTTTATTTGTTACAGACTAAAACGGATACCGATGTTATAAGAATGATGTCCTATATCCTAATCATTGCCGGTGCCCTTACGTTCATTGTTAGCTTTTTAGGATATTGCGGTGCAATGTTCGAATCTAGATGTCTCCTCTGTGTCGTAAGTCCGTAATTCATTATTTGATTAAAATCATACATTTATACATCTATATGTTACGTTCAATGTGTTTAACGTAGGAAGTTGTGTTATATTTTATTATTGACAGTCGGGAACTGTTGGATCTATGCTGAATAGGCTGAACTTGAGATATCTTAACACTTTAGCGACTGCTAGTCTATTAATAGCCTTTTTGTCGCCGACGTTTACCGAACATAATTTATTAATCAGCTTTTTGTCGTTGACCGATAGCTTATTAATCGGTTGACATGGTGATGAACATTCATTATCATTACATGAACAATAATTTGTTATTAGAATCTTATTAGTATCTTATTAAAATCTATTATTACAATCTGTTAGTAGAATATGAGGCTGAGACGGTCAATTGGACGTGCGTATGCTGTTGAAATTCTAGCAATCGGTAAAATGAAGATCACGTTTTTTTATTAAAATAATAATAATTAAGCTTTATTATTAAATTAAATTATAACAAATCTGTTCGGTCGTTAATTAGTTTAGTTTAATTTCAAGTTAAAATATTTCAGTTAATCAGTTATTTTGTGTGTCTGTGTGTGTTTTTATACATGAAGGGGCGCATTTGAATGAAATGCGGAAAACGTCCAAGGAAAAGCTTTCCGGTCTCTTAAGTAAAAAAAAATTAACAGCAACCTTCTTACCACTCATCAATACGAGGATCGAATACAAGTTGTCAAAGAAGCTAAAGATATTTTAAGTGGTAAGAAGGGGAAAAGCCTTCCATACACTGCTGATTTTTGGAATTGTTTGACCTTGTTAACATTGCTGGTAAGGTGAAACTAATCAAACGAATTACAGATGATCTTATAACAGCATGTCAGGGTCACTGGGATATAAGGAATGCAACTGCAAATTCAAGTGTGTTTCAAAAAAATTTGCGTGCAGAGCTACTTGTTAGCTCTGTAATTCCTAATGCCTATAGTTTGTTACCTTACTCTAATAAATAATCCTTATGATTAACTATAATTATAAATAACTGTATGTTGATTTTTACTAAGGGATTTATTGTCGCAATAAAAAACACATTTTTAAATTTCCTTGTCAGAGCGATTCAATACACTGACCACCATCCTCTAGGCATTCTGTATAATGACCGAACATTTTGTAGATTGACCGAAACTTGTTACGGGTATTTTGTACAATATCTTTTCGAACAGGCATTCTATACGGTATCCGGACATTTTACGAAGCGCACACGTTAAACACATTGAGCGTAATATATATATATATTACATTCTATATTTATATTAGATAGATCGTAATCGATGCCGTTAAAAGAGAAATATCTTCTTTGATTGCAGTATGGCGTCCTTCTTTTATTGGTTTTGGTCCTGGAATGTGTGGTGGTTGGCCTTGCGTTTGGACTAAAAGGAGACGTGCGTATATATATGTGTATATGTAGAAAATGTCCATGATAGAAAACAGTTATATTTGCTTTAAGCGATTCCAATGTTGGACAGTTTGTTGAGTCGTGAAAGTTCTTTAAAGAAGTGCTCTCTATTTTGAGTATTATTTCGGTCGCTTTTGCATTTCATTGAAGATTTCTATTTATTTGGTTAGTAATTGTTAAAAATTTTTAATCAGTATTTATGATTGGGGTAGAATTGTGTGAATGTTACATACAAGATACATATTTATATATTATTTTAAATATTTACCTAATAGTAGCTATTATTGAATCATGTTAATCCGTTAACTTTATATGATAGTTTATTACAGTGTAGTAATGTACTTAAGAAAAAAAGCAACGATTATTAATGTTGAAATAACAATATAAATATAGGCGGAAAAGGGTACACAAAGTTTCTTGAAGTCGACAATCAAGTATTACGCAGCAAGCGTGGATCAGACCGAAACCGTGACAGTTGCGTGGGATGGTATTATGAGCCAGGTATTTATTTATATCGTTTCTTTTAAATTAATTCAAAAATGATAATGACGTGTATATCAAAAATATATATATAATAATTCGATCGTATTTAGCTTCATTGTTGCGGCGTTGAAAGTTATTTGGATTTTCACGAAAGTACAAATTGGACTACAACCAACAAAGTCGTACCGGAATCTTGTTGCATAAAACAAAATGGTGAATTGCAGGATCGCTCGTGTCCTCTCAATCCTACGTCCACGAACTCTTATTATCAGAAGGTAAGCCCAATAGTAAATACATAAATATTGAAAAAATATTGATTTTTATAATTTTAATTTAAGAGTAAAAAAAAAGATGAAAATAAATAATATTCTTATTCATAGGGTTGTTACAAAGCGATACTAACGACGGTAGAAGAAAATGCGGCAATAGTTATAGGAGTAGCAGCTGGTTTAGCCCTGATCGAAGTCCTGGTTATTATAATGGCCTTATACCTGGCATGTGTCTACTGGCGTCCGCAACATGGTAGGCTCGATGTTTAAATCAGATTTTAAATCATTTTTAAAAAAATGAAACAAACTTACTTACTTACTTAATGTTCGTTGAATGACATCGGCCATGCGGAAGTGCAGTTCTATTGATTGCCGGTAAAACGTGATCAATTTAACGCTTTGCAGTTTATCGATGCGTAGAGCCGTCTGGCAAGGAGTAACTTCGGCAGCAGAACGTTAAGCTTTCCTTTTTCCTTTGAGGAGCTCTCATGATTGCCTCCTGTGTATATACATACATACATGGCTTTTGTTTTCCCCGTGCGGTGGTTGATACCGTCTACCATCGACTACCATCGTGTTACATCTTGCACCGCTGCTGTGTTGCAATGTGCATCGAATATATATATACATATATATACATGCATATATTTAATACGCAACGAAAATTCTCCGACTATCGCATGACGATGTATTTATCTTTGCTATATTGGTTGTTTCAATGTGAGAGAATAATATTAATATGATATATTTCTATCTATTATACATTAATATATGCCAAAATTTTGATAGCGCGATTTTATGCATTTTTTAAATGGAATATTCAAATATTATTTCTAAAATATTTTTACTCGAATCTCTATGTCTCTCTCTCTTTCTCTCTCACTCTCTATCATTCGCGATAGGGATAATAAATAGTCTTCGTACAGTTACTACTCGTGATATATAATATTTGTCAAGAGAGAATTTTATAAATAATTAATTTATATGAAATTTATATATATAAATTCTACATGATGTAGAAATTTTGTCAATAACATTTAGCTGCTTTGAACGCCAACGTAGGGAACCTAAGTATTACGCGATTATTTTATATATGTATTTTTTTAAATAAATAATATACTTTTATATAAAAGATAAAAAGAAAGAAAAGAAAAAAAAACTATGTCAAAAAGAAATAATCTTAAATTGATGAACGTGACCATCCATTTTTTGCATGAAAACCATTTTTTATAAATAAAATGCATTGCAATAATGATATTCCTTAAATCTATTTTTTATGTGGGTATATAATATAATTAATAATAAATTGATGCTGCTATATATATATTATGTTATATTATGCATCATGAATTAAACATTAACAAAAGTAAACAACAAAATTGCTCTGTGATTTTATATACATACTTACATTATGTATAGAGTTTAATGCGGTAGAAAACATTTACAAAAAACAAACATTCTTTTAGCTTGCGTAGATGTGTCATCGAGACAAGCCTGGTGAGAGAAGTGGTGAGATGGGGATGTGATGGTTTGGTGGTGAAATTTGGTTTCAAGTAAGAAGTGGTGAAGATATTGATTGAACAATAGACTTTTTTCTTCTTCCATGCCTTCTGTATAAAAAGAAAACAATACCGAATCTGTTGCCAATTTTCTAATTCTTACTTATATGTCAATTATTTTTATATACTTATATTTTTTCTTAAGGCATGAGACATAGCTTTGCTTCATATCTTTGCATGATCATGCTATAATCAACTATACCAAAGTGGTGATAGAGGCTTGATTGCATTGATAAAATAATATAATCAGAGAAACTGACTATTTTCTTTAATGTGCTTAGTCACATTTCAAGTTAATCACATCAATTAAATAATCATGCAATCATGCCTTGGGGTTTTCAGTTATGGTTCAAATGTAATTTAGTATTTTCCACTGAATACGTTATGTATCTCTTTTTGATATTTCTTAGCACAAATTACCAACTAACTCTAATGTAATATCTAATAATAATTTTTTATAACAAATAAGTATTACAAATAAAATTAACATCTTAATAATTGTGCATATAATTTCTAGACGTTTACGATACATTAGTTTACATAGTTTTTTTAACAATTTTTTTGTTTTAATTAAAATATCATTTTTTATCGAAGATTATATTAAGTACAGCAAATATATGTAAATGCTAAACGACGTATTAAATAGAATATATTAGATAAACGAAAAAATATATATATATATTCTTTTCGGAAAATGATTAATATAATTTTTATTATTATAGTAGGTGATAGTTTTAATTGTAGTAAGAAAATAACAAAGGTTACTGCCTATTTTTCTATCTATTAAAAAATGTTACATAATAATTCAACCAAAGTGGTCAATTTCAATATATCTATTTGAAAAATAAATATATACTAATAAAAACCAATTTGTTTTCTATTGATAATTTGTGCTAATGTATCTGTATTCTCTTAACCATATTATATAAATTATATGTACGTATACTATAAGAAGTTATAGATACTTAATGGGATCAGTAAAAAAACATTAAAAATGATTATATATATATATATAAGAAAAATGTACACTTTAATTCATAGTGATCCGACAAAAAATTTGTGTTTAAATTTGCATAAAATAATATTTTTTCTGTATCTGTCTTACCAGTTATATTAATAATTTCAAAAACTGCATAATTGTATTTAGTGAAATGGGTGTATACGTACATAAAATTAATAATATTAATAATACTAAGTCAACGTGTAAATCTATTGAAGACAAAAAATTGCACTTTCTACATACTAATAATAGTTCATACCGCACACTCTAAGCATTTTCGTTTCCAGTGTTAACTTGTTGGTGCTGCTGCTGACGAGGCATTAAGGGCATGGAACTGTTGAGTAGTGCCTCCTAGCAAACGCACGTTGAGCCATTAGAAGTCCTGTGCCTTGCTTGCTTGAAACGTTAGATACTAGCCAGATTTAGGCTAGTCAAAACGTCGGCCGACAGAAATGAATCCTGATTGTAGAATGACCACAGATATTCGTCAAATCAGACTTGACAGTGATGTAGGAGATTTATTACAATATGTTATTTTTTATATGCATCTAAAGCAAAAATAAATTCTAGCTTTATTTCGTGATAGAAAAACAAAAAAGAAAAGTCAAATATCGAAGATGTATTATTTGTTGAGTTTAATGTAATTCACTTTAGAGACCTATATTGTAAAGTACAAATATTACTTCTTAAGACATTACACATCTGTAAAAATCGATGTGTATGATATTTCTTTTGCCTTTTCAGTTTTTTATCTATTTCTTTATCATTAAGAAACTCCTATATCACTGTAGATTATTATCATTTTATGATATGTTATTAATTGTTTAATAATTATTAGTATACAAGCATTTAAAATCATTTATCAAAAAATATAATATAATAACGTGTGATCGCAGCAGTATACTTCAGATTTTGTACATTCTATATTTGTGCTATTTAATATATCATCAATATGCACATGTATTTTAAATTATAACATTTTTTCTTTATCAGATGATATTGTTTCTTAAGCAAACAAACAAAAAAGTAAAAATTAATTTATATATATGAGGATTTTAAGTGTATGTATCTAAAATGTGTAGCCTTTATTATGTTGCTTTGCCTACTTTGAGATTATTTCAAATGTTTATGTATTAAAGGAAAATGTTTAAGTGTACAGTAGTTCAATTCCTTGCATTTAGGCAGGTCTTATCATTTCATCCATACTAATTTTTCACTTCTAACAGTTCGAACTCGCGTTTCCAACAAATATACAAAAATACATAGTAATATTAAAAAATTATGGAAAACATTATAATCTATCTATGTAGTGCTTATGTCTCTATAACTCCTGCCAAACTTTTATTAAAAAAAAAGAGAATAATAAATGTACATTTTATCTGAAAGGTAAGCACTTGGGAAAATAAAAAAAATAGAAATAAAATTATAAACACGCTATGTGTAGAAAACAACAATTAATAAATATTATTATTATTCACTTTCTGAATCGAACGAAAGCAATTAACATACTTTGATGTATTTAAAAAGGTGTACGTTTCATTCTCAGAAATGTCTATAAATTAATATTATTATAGGGCAATGATCTGTATTAAATTAGTGAATAGTAGTACCTGGTAGAAAAATTAGAGAAAATTAGATATATAATATTTGATTTTATTTAAACATCTCATTTGATTCTAATACTTTTGACGAAAGTAAGTTACTACTGTTCTTTATTTAAAAAAAAAAAAAAACAAATAAATAAAATAAAAGAAAGAAAAAACACGAGAAGAATATGCGTGGTCTTCTTATACTCGATATTACAATCTTTTTTTTACATGTAATATATGTATATCTATATATTTAACAAAATTAATTACAAAAAAAGAATCGATTTAGAATTGTTTGAAGAAAAAATATCGAGTATAATAGGAGAACCATTTTGATGTTAATAAAAATCATACTATATACTATAAAAAGTTTTTGTTTTCATAACGTATAGCTGATTTTAAATAATTTAAAAGCGCACATATTTCCTGCATGTGTAAACTATAAATATTTGTATTTATTTCTTACATACGTTTTCATTGTACTCTTGTTCAGTCTCTTTTTTATGTAAAAAAGAAAATGTATTACCACTTTGTTTCTTTTTTTTTTTTTCTTTTTTACACATTAGATTTAATAATTTATAGTCTCAGAATACGATATAATAAAATTTATCTTTTTCTTTTCTATATCAAGGAAAAGAAACCAAAACTTAATAAGATAAATACTTAAAATGAGTGTTGAATGTTACATTACTTGATATAGAAT